ACATTTGTCTATGTTAATGTTACACATGGAGCTGCTGTGATGCAAGTCACATTTCAGACTTGATCTAACCATTGAAGTATTATCGTATCGTATCGTAAAATGATTGTGGTGAATAGTTTTCACTGACTTTAATGCCGTCTTTTCCTCAGAGCCCCTAAAGTCCCTTAAGGTGTTGTTCTTTTTTCTTTTATTCTGTGCAATTTGTATCCATATAATACTAATAAATAGCTTATTAAGATATCATCATGTAGGGAAAAAGTGATCGTCTTAGTTATTACTTGGTGGATAAGCTATTATCTATTGTAAACAAGTTATTATCTTGTGGGAGTCCTTTATTATCTTTTGCAAACAAACATTTCTTTAGTGCAAACAATATATTGTTGTGCAAAATAAGTTATTATTTTATTAGAACAACTTATTATCTTGAGGGAGAAATAAAACATCTAGTGTATGAAAGTTATTTACTTTAAAACAAGTTATTATCTTTAGGGAACAAGTGACTATCTAGTGCAAACAAGTTATTATCTTTAGGGAAGTGAATATATATTGCAAACAAGTTATTATCTTGTGTGATAAAGTATTTATCATGAAGAAACAAGTTATATTATTGTTCAAAACAAGGCATTATCTGGAGGAAACAATGTAAAATATTGAGGGAACAATGTTATTATCTTTAGGGAACATGCAAATATCTAGTGTAAACAAGTTATCCTCTTGTGGAAACAATGTATTATGGCGAGGGAACAATGTATTATCTGGTGCAAATAAATGATTACCTTGTGTAAAAAAACACATTATCTTGTGGGAACCATTTATTATATTCTATAAAATTAGGGCTGTCAGTCGATTAAAATATTTAATCGCGATTAATCGCATGATGTCCATAGTTAATCGCGATTAATCGCAAATTAATTTTTTTATCTGTTCTAAATGTACCTTAGAGGAATATTTTTCAAGTTTTTAATACTCTTATCAACATATGAGTGGACAAATATGCTTTATGCAAATGTTTGTTTATTATCATTGGAGCAATGACAAATATTCTCCTGAATATTCTCAACACAACAACCTGGAACCTCTCTCTCTCTCTTACACTCTCTCCCAACCCGGTGTACTTCTCTGCACTGAGCCAGTTGCTCAAACAGACAAGCCTGTTTACAGTTGTCGGCGAAATGCCGCTCCTCTGTCTTCATAACAGTCAAAGCATGAGACTGAAGTTCCCACTGTGGGTCAAAATAATGCGCTGTGATGTGCAGTCGACACGTTGGATGCGATCCAAATTATCTAACGCAGCCCCTCGTCCTCCACAATGTTAAGCTGTAGCCACCCATTTAGCTATCGCTGTTGTTGTCCAGGCGTCTCCCCGGCAACTTTCAAGCGCAAGCGAGCGGCAGGAGCGGGGCTGTCAGCATCAGCTGTTTGCTTGGCTTGCTGTTTAAAACACCTTTTTTTGTATCCATATCTCTCGCTAGAATCTCCATCAAGCCTTTGGGCTCTGAAACTACGGGGCGGGCCGAGGACAAATACACATGCGTTAATCGCACGTTAAAATAATTAGTGGCGTTAAAAATATATATTATTAATTATTAACGCGTTAACTTGACAGCCCTATATAAAATATTATCTTGTGCAAACAAGTAATATCCTTGTGCCAAACAAATTATTATCTTTAGGGATCGGTTTATTATCTTGGGGGAACAACATGTTATCTTTTGGAGAAAACATGTATTATATTGAGGGAACAACTTATCTTAAGGGAACAAGTGAAAATCTAGTGAAAACAAGTTATTACATTGTGTGATGATGTATTTATTTTGTAGACACAAGTTATATTCCCTTTACAAAAGAAGTTATTATCTTGAGGGAACAATATGTTATCTTGATGGAAAAACGTGTTAACTTGAGGGAACAATATGTTGTGGGAACAATGTATTATATTGAGGGAACAGTTGTATTATAGTCAGGGAACATGTATTTTCTTCTGGTAAAAAACATATTATCTTGTGCCAACAACTTAAAAAGTCAAATTGAGGTTTTTGTATCAAAAGTTGCTATCAGAGGTACAAATGACATCTACCTGACAGTAAAATATGTACGAGTTCTCAGTTTGCTGTTTTACACAGACAAGCTGCCACTGTTGTTAACTGGCAGCATGTCTGTGTGTAAAAGTTAGTATTTGGCTTATGAGCAACTTCCCTGAGGCATAGGGTCATGAAACACGCTTCAAATCTTTCCTGAGCAGCTTCCAGTAAATAAGCAGTAGGAGTTTAGTGTTTTGCTTCAGGGCATTTGGGATTTGGCTGTTGAAATAAACACACAGCTGCAGAAATCGAAGCTGTGATATTATGCTTTTGGAACTAGGCTTTGTCCTCTTGGTTTACGTTGAGTGTTTTGCCTACACGTCAAGCTTGTCATTTAGATAGAACGTCATGGCATCAAGATCTTCTGTGTACGCCAGGTGTATGGCAAGCCGATTTAGCTTTTCTTCATTTCTGGAGGATATCAAAAAATCTATTCTTACTAGTCGAAATGCCAATTGTTGATATCAGAAATACAATTGGAAAAAAATCATTTTTTTACTTCAGGATATCATTGAAACTGTAACATTACATACATTGTAACTAGTTATAAATAAAAATTGAATTATAACTAGTAACAATTGTATTCCTGATATCAGAAAAATGATTTGTAACTAGTTCAAATTGTATTTCTGATATCAACAATTGGCATTTCGACTAGTTGAAATTGAATTCTTGATATCAGAAATTGGTATTTTTAATAGTTCAAATGTAATTGTAACTATAGTAACAATTGAATGACTGATATCAGAAATTGGCATTTGAACTTCAAATTCCAACTCCCATTGAAATGAATGAGAAAAACGATTCAAATCTCATTAGTTAAAATCGCATTTCTGATATCGAGAATACACATTACAACTAGTTACAATTGAATTTCTGATATCAAGAATTTGCATTCTAACTAGTTAAAATTCAATTTTTATATATCAGAAATAACCATTATTACTAGTGAGAATTGATTTTTTTGATATCCTCCAGAAATGAATAAAAGCTCAATCGGCTTGCCTTACAGCTGAGGCAATGGGGATGACTGATTGGTTGGTGAAACTGCAAACATACTACAAAATGTATAGTAACACACATTCACAAGAGCACACCTTTCCACCTGACATCTGTAGGCATGCCATTCTGGTCTAAACGCTGTGATTTGTCCTTTCACTTTGTCTTCAGTGCTATCGATTGTTACTCTCCAACAAGAGTGGATTCACTGGTGCAGTTGAAAGATTTCTTTCTTAGCTCTCATGTATTTTTGAAGGCTGGACATCTGATGGGTTGTTGCAGGTGGACGGAGGGGGGAATTCTCTCCACTTTGTTCTAATATCTATCTATTTCTCTTACTGTCAAACTCTCCCTCAAGGCCCCTTTTTCTGGCAGATTTCTCCCTTCAACATCTTGTCAGTGAGGTGATCACCATCTCCTCGAATACTGAAGGACAGTTGAGAAGAACAGATGGGACGGAAGAGATTTGAACGGACATAAATGGAAATGAAATGAAAAGAACAAACTGTACTCGAGTCAAACGTGGAAGGAGATGTTCTCTGACAGATTAACCAAGGAAATAGCTACCCTTTAGGATTTAAGAGAAATATTATAGGCATGTTTAAGCAAAGAAAGCAACTGTCCTACTGTTCTGTTGAAGAGAACATTAAACACACAGTACAGCTGAGGCTGATGGCCTTGACTCTGTGTCATATCCAAAGCATTTGACAAATTAAACTTTAGAACGGCTCGATTAAAAGTCAGGGGATCGACAAAGTGATTACAATTCATCGTGAGAGGGACATGAATATCTGAACCAAATGTCATGGCAACAGTTACAGAGCCATTTAAGTCACACACATATCAAGATGATGGTGATCCTGGAAGAAAACTCATTACAAAGTTATAAGGATTCATCCTGTGGTATCGATGAATATGTTATAACTAGTGCTGTCAATCGAAGAAGGAAAACAAATGTGTTAATCATAACAAATATCTGGGATTAATCATTATTAATTACAAGATTTAAACACCAATATTTACTTGTATTTTGGAGACAAATACAGAAAATGCATGACTAACTGGTGAGAGAAATCCGAGTTAAAAAAACCCACTTTATTATAGCATGATTTCTGAATAATTGGCAAAACACTGCACTGTATCTGATCCTTCACTGTTGACCCTTTCCTCTATCTCTCACTCCTGTGTAACTTCAAGAAACTGTCACAATGTTCGACAAAATGCCTTTCCTTCGTTCTCTTCACACCTAAAGCGAATGGTTTCAGTTGTTTGCGAGGTAGTGATGGTTCATACTGATGTCCAGTGGTCTCCAGTCAGTGTAATACACGTAGCTTGTGCCAGTTTCTCTGCTATCTTTGCTTTATCACTGCCATGCGATTCATGGCAACCTTGAGCACTGGAAATTACGGGAGCAACTTTGGGTCAAACTTGGTCATTTGATTCAATTTCATTAATATTTGTTTCAACGGGTTAAGGTTAACAGATGATTCACAAACATTAATGTGTTAACAGTCCCAGTTACATAACACGTTAACAATATGGTGACACTGAAAGAAAAGTCAGGGAATAATCAAAGCCCTTAGGGTTCATCCTCTGGAGATCATCAATGTCTGTACACATTTACATAGGAATCTGTCCAACAGTTGTAAAGATAGCTCAGTCTGGATCAAAGTAGTGGAATATTTCACTAAACATGAGGGGAAACAATGAAAAGCCCACAGTAATCTGCTGTTAGCATGCTTGCTAAACAGTTTCTTATCTACACCTACATATAACTAACCTGGTGTGCTACTAATTTGTATATGGAGTAATGGTGACATCCATTCATTTCTCATTCATCATTCAAGACCTTAAAAACCAACCTGCAAAAGAATCATCCTCAAAGCTACAAATGTACAAACGACCACCATTCTACACATTTGCAAAACATTCCTTTATTATAAATAAATCTCCTTTTTGTATAAAAAAACTGGCATGCTTCAACCATGGCATTTTACAGGTTCACAACCCAAGGCTACAACCCGGTTAGCCAAGACAGCAGGAGGAAACACACTCATCTCATTATGCAAGGGCGATCCATCGGACAACGGTGAGACAAGAATGAAAAAATCGTCACAACCACAAAAATACTTACAAGTAGAGAATAACAACAAACATGTTTGAGTCTCATAGATTTTTCTTACATTTCTCTTTTTAAATATCTTTTAAAATGGAATCTGTTAAATCTCTCTCCCAGCCTGCCCTTTTAGATATAATGTCTACATGGTCTGAGTTTTTTTCTTTTATGATTTTTATGATTTTTTTTTGTCTACGTTTTAATAGTTACTCTGTCCACCACAGTGTCCTATGGTATGGCATATCTTTTTTCATTTTTTTTCAGAACAGGTACGTTCATGGTAGGACCAATGAGCTGTGAGCAGCGAGGAAGCAGGCACACTGACTGGCTGTTTTTTGTGGTCCCACCTCTCTGTGGCGTGATGCGGAACAATACAAAATGTCTCATGCTTGGATTCCATTGGGCGCTCAGTCTGTCCGTCAGTTCTCCGGCCAAGAACCACGGCTCCTTCTTGGCGCTGCCTCGGGACACGCCCCCTTCTCCTTGTCCAATCCCTTTCCGTCATATCCTCTGTGGTCCCTTCAAATGGCATGATTGCTGTAGCTGACATATGTCGTCTTAGTTGATGAAGCTGCGTGAATTTGAAAAGGGTGGACGATGGAGCGGAGATGGGGCGAATCAGGGGGGGGGGGGGAAGAGAATGAAAGAGAAGCGACAGATTGGATGTGTGGAAGGGGAAAAGGAGAGAAGAAGGGGCAGTTGAGAGCAGATTTGGCTACAGATGGTCACGAAACAGTTTCACATCCACCTGAGTAGTCGGGGCTTTTTGTCAAACCCATTACGTCCTGTGTCCCCTCAAGCGCTCCGTGGTAAATGTCAATGTTTTTGGAGCAAAGTCAGGCTTCTAACTGCACCTTTTTTTATACTCTGCTGCTTTCATACAACCCATTTTATATAACTTTCTTTCACTCAGGTTTCTTCCGCCATCACACTGCTGGAATAATGGGAAAAAGGTCCTTGATGAAAAATAAATATGTAAGAAATGTGTGGTGCAGCCTTGAAAATTGCCCAAAGCTTGTCATAATATTTTCTGAAGAGTGCTCTTAAGCAAATGTCAGGTACCAAAAAAAGTAGAGACTCTTAAACTTTCTACTCATACCCGTAGGAAAATATAAAATGTTGCTTTGACCATATGGCATTCATTTGCAATTTCTCTGTAAAGTTAAGCATGTAGGGAGAAGTATTGGCTTCATGAATGAACTGTGACCCGCTTCCTTCAATGATGTTAATAAAGTGCTGACGGGGAAATGCAGGTCTGAAAATCATTACACTCTTGCATGCAGTGTTCACGAGCTGCAAAGAAACACATGCACAGCAATGCTGACATGTACATGTGTTCATAGAGACGCATGTATGAAGCACACATGACTATTGACAGAAACACCAAAGGACACACAAATCCATGGTGGCCATTTGATAGAGGCTCACTCACTGAGGCACACGTGCACATTCACATGCACTCCCGTCATTTCATCTGCAGATTGCTGACACAGGAGAAGCAGCCCATCACAGAGTGGAGCTTTGAAGTGAATATAACAATGCTTCACTGTCAAAACCCGGGGAAGACACACTGTTATTTGAAATCTGTCACTGTTGCAGTTGTTTCTGTCATGCAGAAAATGAAGGCGTGAAATTATTTTTTAAGTCAAACTCAAACTTCATGCAGGCTGTACATCGGAGCAGAGATGCACACAAGCAGGGTGATGTGCTTGTTTATGTATGGTAGTGGGAGAAGTACTGAGATGCTTTATTTGAGTGAAAGTCACAATAGATTAATGTTAAAATACTCAAAGTAAAAGTACTGCATTCAAAATCTGATTAAAGTATTATTGGCACAATGAATTCGATGAATTCGATTTTTCTGCACTGATTTTTGACTTTGGGTGAATACTGTAAAACACTTTCTGATATTGACTTTGTGTTTGATTGCTGCACCACCAGTTTCCTCTTTGTTTGGCCCAGTTTTTACATTATGTTACAAAAATGATTGACTTTTTTAAATATATTTGACCATTTTACTTTTTTGTACCTTGTTCTGGAAAGTAATGATGTCAAACAAATGTTACAGACATTATTTCCTTTTCCCAATTGCTCCAATAAAATCTAGTAGTAGTATAAAGTAGCATTAAATGGAAAAATGTATTTATTTCTATATTTGTATCGCAGCAGGTACATCTACGCATTACAGAAGCAAAGGTATAGAACAGCTAAAAGGCAAAAAGAAAAGAGTATAATGATAAATAAAAAAGCAAGCACAGGTTCCTACAAATATATAATTGAATAAGCAAAAACAAAATAATTAGTAGCAGTATTTTAAAGTGATTATATAAAAGTATTGAAGGAGCCGGTTTTGTTAACAAATTGTAAATACATTGTAAAGTAATAAGTGTGAGTTGCATAAAAGCACTGTTATTCCACAACAGTTTTTATATGTACAAGCACAAATACTCAAGTAGTACTTCAATATTGTACTTAAATACAGTCCTTGAGTAAATGTTACTTTCTACCACTGAATATGTCTGTTTGAGTACATGTATGCTTTATTTGTGTCGTTATCTTTAGTCCCTTCAAATGTATTGAAACTGTAACTGTACTGAAAACACTGACTCTAATACAATGTATTATGTCAACAAATTACACATTATTGTATTAGGTGGGTTCAATGCAATAATATGAAGTTTAAATATTAGGTTCAACTTAATATTATTGCTTTTACTAACCTAGTACAATTATGTAAAATGTGTTGACTTAATACCGTTAATTAAAGTCAACGTTCCAGTTTTTGTCCGGTGGATTTCAGCGGGTCTGATGATATATCTTTATGAAATATTTTATATGTGTAGGTAGAAAACGTCCGTGTTCTCTTACTCACTGTTGGTCTCCATGCTCTCACACAGCTCCGTCTTCACCTCTCCGTTGGGCCGGTCTCCTCCCTTCTGGCCCAGCTTCCCCGTCATGGTGGCAGCTGTCACAATGGCCTGCATCGTTCAGACATCCATTAACAGGAAGTGAAGACTACCACAAAAACTCGAAATCTCGCCAAGTATATTTGTCTAATATCTAGCCGTAAATCGGTTAGCGACCCGGCTAACTTAGACTTTGATCTTTCTTCATTGATTTTTGAGTTTGGGTGAATACTGTAAAACACTTTCTGACATTGACTCTGTCTGTTGATTGCTGCATCACAAGTTTCCTCTTTTTTTGGCCCAGTTCTTTTACATTATGTTACAAAAATGATTGACTTTTTGAAATATATTTGAAAATGTACTTTTTTTAAATCCACCCTAACAGGAAGTTCAGACTACCACACAAACTTAAAATGTTGCCATGTATATTTGTCTAATATCTAGTCAGAATATGTCTGTACACTGGATATAAGACCTAATAACTTAAGAAGTAACAATTCAGTGAGATATAGGGCCCTGGTTTTAGACAATGCATCTTAAAGGGGACCTATCATGCAAAATGCACTTTTGTACGTCTGTTATACATGAATATGTGTCCCCGGTGTTCCAGGGAACTCACCAAGTGTCAGAAAACACAACCCTCTCTATTTTCCTCCATACCCAAATCTCTAAAAAAGGGGCTGCAACGGATCTGATAAAAACTGATCCAGATTTGAACACTGTCCTAACGTCAGGACGGTGGCGCTACGGCTATTGGGCCAACTCCACCAATCAGGAGGAGACAGCCACGGCCATTGCCGTTCGAAAGCGCTGGAGACGCTGTAGTACATATGCCAGGCCTCTAGATGGTGCTGTTGCTCACAGAATCAACCCTTGCAAAAACAGAGCTAACATTTTTCAAATTGAGCGAAATGAGGCATGGCTAAAATGCATGATCTGTTTGGTATTTTGAAAAAAAATAAGTATAAATATGCCTTATATAGGTATGGTCCTACACTATATTATTCAAATATAGCATGATAGGTCCACTTTAAGTATCTTGAGAACATCTTATTTTGATTTCAGATTTTAGTTTTGTTTAAATTTTTATTGGAAAATCACCAACTAACATCAGAAAACAGAACACTTTTGCGCATTAGTTGCTTATTTTATAACACAACATTTCCTGATTCTGGTAAAAAAATTGTTCAAAAATAAGTTTTCCCAGCTAATTACAAGATTTGATTCATCTAAACATCCCATCTTGTGTCAACAACTCTTACCAAGCACATTTCCACTTGTTCTATTGACATATTTTTCACTCATTATAAGTTCAAATTAGTTTTTTACTTGTTTTCGAGCAGCATTTTGTCCAGTGTGGCTTGGCTTCCTTGTGTTTTATTCCACATTTGACTTAAATAACATCTGTCAAAATATGAAGAGTATTTCAGCTCACCTTAAAGCTGCGTTTCCGTTTGGGTACGTTCTGCTCGGGGTGGAAGAGGATGATGTAGACTTTGGGCATGTAGAGCATCCCCAGAGACACTGAGGCAGACAGGCTGAGAGAGATGGTCAGGGTGGTGGTTTGGATATACATCTAAGAGAGAGACACACAGAGAGAAGTTAGTTATCACATTTAAAGTTGTCGGAGAGTCTGTGTAACGTGTGATGAGGGATAGACAGATGGGACGAGGGAGAACACAGGAAGTAAATGAAGGTCTAACAAGAGAGGAATTAGCAGCACATGTGTGTCGTGACAGCTGAAGTGACACACAGGCAGGTAGATCAAATGCTATATGAAAGCATGGCGGCAGTGAAGTTGCCTAATTGCGCGTCTTCTGCAGAGCTTGTCTCTTAGTCAAAGAATGTGAAATTGTTCTTAGCATTTATTTGGCAGGCTAAAAACTCCATATGGGTTTATCATGTTAGTAGAAAGTGACGGAAATGACACTAAATTGACTTTCAGATTTTCCTGAAAGTTTGGATGACGTCTGGCTTACATTAGGATATACTTCTGGGATATACTTTATTTTCCAGAGATTGAGATGTGAGTTTTGTTCACCTCCAACAACCTGTGAGTTGAATGACTTTGGTTGCATTGTAAAACAGTCAGTTTATGTCCTGTAAAGTGGACTATGGCACAAGTAAGAGGGTATGATAAGTGGACTGAAAGACAAGACAAGATATGATGATAGGCAGGATTTTTTAAACTAGTATAATACATTTAGGAAGCAACTTTCAAAAACAGGTGTTACAAAGTGCTTCACAAGACAACAACAACAGATGAATAAAACCAAAGTCAGAACAGTAAGGTAATAGTTCAATAGAACATAAAGGAATATATCAATACATTAAGATTAAAGCGATTAAATAAGATGGATAATTGTGTGTAAAAACTGTATACACACTGCAGAGCTTACACCACCCATATACAATACGTAAAACAATAAATCCCATTTACTTCAATGTAAAGTCCTTTGTTACCCTTTGCACACACATCCCCAAACAGTAGACCAATCACAACAGAGCCGAACAGCTAACCAATCAGAGCAGACTGGGCTCTGGTTTCAGACAGAGGGTGAAAAGAGGTTTTTGAACATTACATTACATTTCATTTAGCTGACGCTTTTATCCAAAGCGACTTACATTAAAGCATGGAGACATGTCACAGTAGAGACACTAAATACTGATATGAACCTGAACATTAGCATAATATGTCCTTTTTAATGCTTATTAATTATATTGGCATCAACATTCTGAGCAGTTAGGGTACTGTAGGTACGTTGCTTCTTTTGTAGGAATACGAGTAGTTGCAATATCAATCAAGCGTAGAAAAAAATAAAGGCATGTGTGGCCTATATTGCCTACATTCACTACACTGAATTAGACTGAACACATTGATTCTGCCAAGTAAGTTTGAGGGCAGTTATGATGAAACAAGACGACTGTCAAGCACACAACACACGCACTGCACACAAGACACACACACACACACACACACACACACACACACACACACACACACACACACACACACACACACACACACACACTGCAGAGGGCTGAGCTCCAGTCCTGGGGTCCTTAGTGAGTTTCTCAGAGGAGTTTGGAGGAGGAGGAAGTGACACAGCTGACAGGCTCTGAAGAGAGGGAGCTTATCAAGAGAGAAGTGTCTGCCGTACATACAGTACAGGGAGACAGAGGGAGGAGGGCGGGAGGAGATGGATGGATTTATGGGTAAGACTAGTAGAAATGAGAGGACGGAGCCACGAAGGAAGAGTTGCAGAGAGGCAAGGGGGGAGGATTGATGGGCTGGGACAAGTGAGCAAAAGAGAAGATGAGAGCAATTTGTAGAGAGAGAGAGAGAGAGAGAGAGAGAGAGAGAGAGAGAGAGAGAACTGATAGGTCGGCTCTTCGTTGTCAGACGGTAACTACTGCCTGAAAAGAGAGTACAGCTGTTTCTGAAAATCACAAGCTGTACTGTTCTGTAGGCTAATTCTTTAAGTGTGAATCTATACGCCCACCCTTTGTCCTCATGTGTCATTTTGACCCCACTTTAAACCTCAAGAAAAATTATCATATTCCAATTTCTTACCAAAATGTATGTTTCTGGTGCTTAACAGTAGGTGTCTTTGTTGACTACCTCAATAACCATTTAAATAAAACATTACCGCAACCTTTCCCCCCACAGACCCCAGACAGAATTCCTATTATGTGACTATCCAAAGATATAAATCACCATAAAATCTCACTGATTTAAATAAAATGTTAAAGTAAGATCTTTTTGCTGTTGTTAAAGGTGGGGTAGGTAATTTTGGAGAAACCAGCTCGAGTGCGCTAGAATTTGAAAATACACAACCGGAAAAAATCTCCCACTTCCTTACAGAGCCCCTCCTCCAACACACACGAACGCGCACATGACCAATGAGGGCACGAGATAAGTTTGTGCACAGATGGAAGGCTGACAGGCAGGTAGGCCATCCAATCATTTTAGCCGGCCCGTACTTTTTACAGTACCACGGCTTCCACAGATGATGGATTTTTTGTCAATGCACTTAAGATATTCATTGCTATCGGGATGTTAAGAGCATTCCATGGAATATAACAAAAAGGGTATCTCGAGCCGGTTTCTCAAACTTACCTACCCCACCTTTAAAGGACCAACATTATTTCCAAGTACAATGTTGGCATTTCAACTAAAACGGAGCCTTTTTTGTCAGCTCAGATTTGTATTTAAACTGTAGTATGTGCTCATGTTGGTGTATAGGCAAAATATGCTGAATGAAAGGCAGACATTTCCTATCAATAAAATCATTTTTGATCCTAAATATGTTTGTTTCTTCTATTCTAAGGTCACGTTGTTCTGTTATCTTACATATTACACTACAGTAAAAAAACATCTTATTGATATCTACTTTCTCTTGTATTAGTAAGTAGTTAACCTCCCAACCCTTGATTTGATCCACCACTGTTGGCATAATTTTCAAGTATGAATTTCTCATTTAGGACACAGAGTATGTGGAGCTGTATTCGGCCCACGGGTCTTGAGTTCGACATGCAGCAAACTCCCTCTTATCAAACAGCAGTAGGCCGCTGATAGTCGCTTCCATTACATCACACACACACACACACACACACACACACACACACACACACACACACACACACACACACACACACACACACAATACTGTCCTCCATGTGGCTCAGATAGCAGCTCAGAATGTGTGCATCAGAAAAGAGCGCTGTATTATCCCCAAAAGTCCCACTCTGAAAGTAGATGATTAGCTACGGATGGCTGCATACAATATGTTCCCTTAAGGTCTAGGACATTTACAGACGGAGAATCTCTGGTCCGTGAGAGGAAGAGATTCAACAAGAGGAACAGAGGAAGTAGAGTGATGCCTGATGTGGTTTTAACACCTGGGAGAAAATAAAAACGATACAAGATAGGATAGAGAGAGAAATATAGAACCAAAAAAGTTCGCTAGATTCTGTGGACAAATATTTAGTTTTAGGGTTAGTCCTAATCAGAAGGTTAAAGTAAGTTATGCTTCGAGTATAAGTTGTTCAGTGTCAGTGACTAATATTGTCCAGGTAACCTAAAGAAAACTAAAATATTGTATTTTTCTACTGTATATCTTTTGGTCGTTTTGTATGCAATTTGTCTTATTTGTGTCTACAGAAAAGGTCCACTGTGGCTAAGCCTCATCTTATATTGAACATATTTACAAAAAACACGACCAAGTTACATTTTATTCTTTAAATCTTGCATCCACAATGGTCACAAAACATGTTGCCCCCCCCTCAGACCCAGCAGGCCACACACAGGTCAATCTGCTGTGGAAATGGTATTTGTTAAAGGGTTTATTCTTAGTCTGGATGGAGTCACAGCACACAAAGCATACATGGAGGCACTTTGATGATCCCTAACAACTCGGACTGTTTTGATTGGAGGATGAGCGTAGCAGGGTTCATGCGAAAGAGATGCGTTTGGGTGTCAGCGAGGTGTCGACTTTATCAATCATTCTAAACTCTTTATCTGAATCCGAGCTACTGAAATGTCCAAACTAGCTACCAATTAAGATGATCCACGGCATGGAGGTGGATGTTACAGGTCAGTTACCGAGCTCAATATATTATTCACAGGGCAATATGAGAGTCATCTGTTTCGGCAGTAAGCATTACCATTTAATAAGTGGTTAGTGTTGAATAGCTGTAGAAGAATGTGACTCGTGGGAGACAGGCAGGCCACCATCATGGAGTTAATATAAGTGTCGAGCAGCTGAGGCATGACAGCCAATATTGAAAAGTACTCTGGGTTGGCTGTGCTTCACTATAATGACACTGTGAATAGAAAGAAACACTACAATAGAAGCCAATTAACTAAATGAGACAATTTCTACTCGCTGATATGAAGAGAAAGAGACATATCTGCAGACATTAAGTGAAGACCTAAAACATATGTTGGACAAATGGAGAATGGAAATGTAATGGTATTTTATCAACGGAGATAAAAAGGAAGCATTGAAGTATTTTATTAAGCGTTTAAAGAATTCAACTAACTCTCATTATGGCTTCACTCAAATAAACGTCCAACGCCAATGTGTGCTGCAACAAAATGCACGATTGAAATGGAGGAAATGGAGAAAAATAACCATGAGATTCAAATTTCATATCTTTGATAAAAGATGGGACAAATTGGTTAATTATAGGACAGAAAACATGTATAAGGATCGGGTGATAAGATCTGACAATTAATGTACATATGAGTATTAATGTTGCACCTAATATGTTGTGATGGCCCCAGCCACACAGGGTAAACCAACTACACTGCATCCTCCTCTTCAGTAGTTTTGCTTCAGTGCAGCTACAATAAAACATGCCAATTAACACCACACATTTGCTTTGAATGGTAAACTCTTTATTTGATTATAATCTGACATTACTTCAAACATTTTAGCACAGCTAACACAAGTATTTGTTTGTATTAATTACTTTCTTTGTCTCTTGAGTTACCATGTCCATTGGGGGAGGTTACTTCCTGGTTCAGCAAAGGGCGTGGCCGAGGACTCATAAATACTGCAAGGAGCCAAT